ATACCGGCAGCGTTATTAAGTCACATCCAAGACTGTAAAATATTATATCGGTCAGTTTGATCTGTGCAACATAACAGATGTGACTCTGGACATGTAATTGCTGTGCTTCCACTTTGTGGTTTCTTTCACACAATGGAGCATTGGTTCAGAGAATTAAGACTTGATCCAAGTGACTGCAGGGTTCCAGTCCCTCAGTTCCGTCTATAATGAGACATTATGATATTACACAAAACCGGTTAAGTGGAGCGATGACTTCAGCCGGTCGGATGTTTGACATGTTTTTCAAATACAGATCATTGAGCAATGTTTTATGATGAAGACACGGCGGCGCACCTACGGATCGGCGACTGGAAATGGCCGCTTATTCACGCACCTTTTTCTGCAGTGTTTAACTAACACTTGTCGTTATTCGTGCACAACTGCATTAAATCCCCAGTCGATAACAGTCGCAATCACAATCGCGAAGCTGCGTGTGTTGTTTTCTAGCATTGTAGTGGCTGTACTTCTTCAGACATTGTGTCAGTTTATTGATCCGTGCCTGTAAAAGCTGATTGAGGATAATCGGGACTAATGGAAAGGTCTCTGTTGGAAACGCACAAACAATTAATCACAAAGGACGACGGTTCAAACCAAACTAGGCTGAACTGATGTGGACAAAAACAAAGAAGACGTTTTTTTATTGGTTTTGATTTCATTATAATTGGTTTAGTAGGAATAGAATCAACTCCAGAAGATTTGGTGCACAGCAGTGATGGGTGATACGATACCAATTACTATTTTTAATTTTTAATTTTTTTTATTCAGTATCAGTATTTTATAAATCAGATGTAATCACTGCTCTCTTCTGGTCAGTGGTCACATGACATGATTGGATCAGTTATACATTCAGGGGGCTGTTGCAGCACAATAGCCTGTATGTAGTAAGTTACCCTAGCTCAGTGGTTCTCATACTTTTTCTACTCTGTACCACCTGAGAAAACACTGATCTCTCTGAGTACCATCATGATGACCAACATTAGAATATAGCAGCAGAGGCCTTCACTGTTAGCTTCCACCACAGGAGAGATGTTTAAATCTTGTATTATTTGTGCATGGTATGTATGATGTTTCAGATTTATTCAATTGAAAATGTAAATGTAAATGTGTACCACTAGAGAGCGCTTCTGTACCACTGGTGGTACGCGTACCACAGTTTGAGAACCACTGCCCTAGGAGATGTGTAAATGACCCGTGCTTTTTTTGATTGACAAATATGTATCGATACTTTATGAGAGAATGCGATACTCATGTGAGTATTCATATATCACTACATTTTTTGGAGTTTTCTGTAGAACTTCCACTGGTAACTCGTCTTGTTTTACATTTCTATCCATCTATCTAAATGCTGAGCTTCTTTTCTTGTATACAGTCGATGGTTAGGCCTGAACTGGTCATGGTCAACGCTAAGGTTCCATCCTTCCACGGTAAATGGAATCACTGTCTCTCGTAGAATGTGTGTGGGAAAAAAAAAATTGTTTAAAGACAAGGCTTTGACCTCGGCGTGTAGTTTGTAGCAAAGACACAGATATGATAACATTACTCTCCCCTTTCCTTTGTCTCATACAGACCACACACACACACACACACACAATAGCATGCAGAAAAACTAACGATAGCATCTCCCCGGTGGGCTGGAGCTAAAGAGTCTCCTCCATCACTGACTGCGGAGGAGCTTTAACTGCAACAGAGACAAAAAGACCGAGGGAGAGAGAGAGAGAGAAATGCTGCAGTGCACGGAGACCGGCGGCGTGCAGCGTAACATATGTGCTGACTCAAGAACGCACACGTCATGCTACAGGAACATGTGCAGCGTACATTAATGTGGTCACACACACACCTACGTGCACAGTCAGAGCTCACAGGTTTGTCCTGTAAAGCACTGCCGTGGTCACTGCAGCTTCTCTGTAAATAAAAAAGGAGAAATGAACAGGAACTGTGATACAGTCTTAGTAAAATACTGTGTACTCACTACTGGCTTTTACTATACACTGTAAAACACTCTCTCTCGCTCTCTTTTAATATTTCTTTAAAAAAACAGTTAAAATCAGGTTACATCGTGGTGAACTGAGGATCTTCAGAGGCAGGGGAGGAAGGTTATGCAAGTTTCAGGCCCAGATCCTTGTGGTTTGTGAGGAATTACAGTCACTACCAAAACGAAAAAAAAATACATTGTTTTTAACTTTAAAACTGAAATGGTTCCAGAGTGAAGCGGTTATCAGGTCTGCTTTACACAGAGGGTTTGAGCTCCAGTCGAAGTAAGCTTTGCTTTGAATAAATCGGTCTGATAAATGTGTAAATGTGTAAATGAGAGACAAAGACAAACAGTAGGTGACGTTACGTACGGGCCTCGAACCCAGGTGTGTAAGGCAGGCTAGATACACTACAGAGCCGTTGTCGACTATTTACCAGTGCAAGAAAATCACTGGTTTGGTCCCAGTAGTCAACTGGTAGGATGTCAGTTCCAGGGTGGGCTTCAAACTACAGACCCCCTCGTACCGCACTCCCTAGGAAAAGATTACACAGTAAAAGATAAATTGGACTAATTGATTATTTACACTAATGAATCCCAATGTTGAACACATTTTCCGAAACCGTGGTTACAGTGAAAATAGAAAACAAAAAGCACTGATTTTTTTTACGAAGTTTTAATACAAGATTTAAACCCTCACAACACGATGTAATCTGTACACTATAAAGTGCTAAATCTGAGGTTCTTCTGGACTCATGATGGAGTATTACACAACTGTGAAAGTACAGTACGTATATTGCGATCACTTCAAATCCAAAATTGTATGTAATTCTTCAAAAGTGCAGCCCCGGCCGGAGGAGCGACAGAGAAGGCGAGCAGGAGGGGGAAAACAAAAACTGGGCCGCGATATAAAACATAGTTGTGGACTTGAAAATGATGTTTTGAGTACTTTTGTTGGCTTTATGCAGCTGAGTGTAGTTTATTAAGGTGGAGGAATGAGGAGAGTATAGGACGGAGAGTGGAGTGAGTGAGTGGGAGAATAACTGACAGGGAAATTGCAGAAGGGAAATTATTGTTATTCCACAATTAAATTATATATACTGGGTGGAATCACCCCTGACAGGGCTGACCATAGCTGTGTTTCTGTGTGTGTGTGTGTGTGTGTGTGAGCCTGAAACTTTATCCATCCACCAAGGCCACTGAGGCTACACTGGCAGAGAGGAGAGTGCAGAAAGAGGATCGTGGGGAGGCAGAGGGAAATAAAACAGAAAGAAAAGTAGTAACACCAACAGACTGGAGTGAAAACAGTCTATTTTAGGTCCGAGTGGGTGTTAGTGAAAACACGGCAAACGCCCCGTGACAGTCGTCCGTTTGAACTCTCGTGACAACTTTAAAACCGAACCGTCGTTGATTTCTGCCGTTGGGATCAAACCGCTGTGACGTTGTATATTTGGGATCAAACATACAGCAGACGGAGGGAAAATGTCTCGTCTCGTCAAAACATTTGAAAAGAATCGACAAATGTGAGAAATCATCAACTGTAAAGTCTTTAATCCTTCCTGAAACAAAGATTCTAGGTTTCTAGGTGATAGTTCACAGAAACCAGCATTAATTCCTACGTCCAGTCAAATTGACGTGTGCTTCTGTTTATTCTGGCCTTTGAGTTTCCAGAAAAAACCACCAGAGCAGGATAGAAAATCAACTTGTTTTTAAAACAGGAACATTTTGTTTGCGTCTGGTGAGTTGAGGTGAATTTGGGAGAACTTTATCGAATGTTGATCTGGATCACATGTCAGTTATTGCTCATGTGTTTGTTGGCAGTTGGAACTATTTGGTTTTTTCATGTGGTCACTTTTAGCTGTTTTTGGCCAAATATTGAGTTATTGTTTTTAGTTTTACCTCTGGTTGCCTTGTGAATTCAGAGTTTTAACAAACGTTATTATCCTAGTTTAGCTTAGCTTTATTTTATGAAGTCAGTGTTCGTTCTCTTTTATTTTGAAATTTGCCATCCACTCACTATGACATAGGTGTAATCTCATTTTTCTAACATCATCATCACTTTTGTAAATTTAACGTGGTTCAGTGGCCACGATCCGCCTTTAAAAACGGACGTTACATGGCAGGAACCTTCAGTAGTCGGACGTTACATGGCAGGAACCTTCAGTTAAACAGGACTGTTTAATGACTCAATATTCACAACAAAGATTTACAGACATGTGACCACTTTTTCCATTCTCTCCTCTGGGCCTGTTTACAATCTTTTCCAGTTGAGGCCATAAGAGACCAACTTGGATTCCGACATATTTGTCTTTGTATCTGCACTTTAACCAGTTTTTACTGCAGTATTACCCCCAGCAGATTACTGCGATAGAATAACCATTAACCATTTTTTTATTTTCTTTTGTTCTTTTCCCTCTTCACTCATTTCTGTCTCCATTTTTTTCTTGGAAACCACAGAGAATCAATAGTTGTTATGCTTTTCCAACACAGTGTGTGTGTGTGTGTATGAGTGTGTTTATGGCAGTCAACCTCAGTTTTCTTTAGACTTCAGGTCGATAACGACATATAAGAGAGTGTGGTTTATGTGAGAGCTAACGCTCAAAGACACTAGTGACCTGTTGATGAGTGGGAAATAATAAAAAAAGACAGGCGCAGGTTGGTGCTACAGTGTCTGAGCAGCAACATGGGGTTTGTTGTATTGTTAGCCTTGTTCCATAAATGAATGTACATTCATCTGTGAACCCATTATATTATATTAAAGGTCATCAAGTTCACTCCCTACCATAACATGTTTGTGTTATTCTTTCTAAGATGATTCAGTTCTTGTGGTTCTGGAAACCAGAGAGAGAGAGTAAAACTGACTGTTGGACGAAAGTCTAAAAAATAAGCACAGAAAAAAAAAAGGGAACGATGGATTGAAACTCAAGCATTTGAGTTCTTGTTTTTACTCACATTGTTGTTGTTTTTTTTCCCTCTGTTTCTTCTGTTTCAGCACCCTCAACAACAACAACATCACCCTCATCCCTCTGTCCAGCTTCAACCACATGCCCAAGATGCGGACGCTGTGAGTAAAGCATCCTAATTTGAGTCCCACAGCGATCAGTCATTGGTCCAGGGTGGGCTACACCCCAGACTGTTAGCCTGTCTGTCACACGGCCGCTGTTGAAACAACCACCAGAGTTGAACCGGTGAACTTGTTGAGTGCCAAGAGGTTCCCATTTTAATTTAAATAGAAATGAAATACTTATTTTGTTTATACAACGTAAGACTATTGACTAGAGCTGGCTGCTTCACAAATGTACTATTACTATAACGAGAATTACATTTCCCTGCACTTGCTGTGAAACTGCATTTACTCAAACTGCCGCCTGGAAACGGTGAGTACTTTAGCAGATGCACATAGAGGCTCACTTTTATGAAGGAAGGACACACTGTGCTCTCACACTGACACATGCAAAAACTCAAACATGTATTGACACAACAGACACACACACACACACACACAGCTGTATGCACAGAATGGCAGCAGGATCTGTGTGCAATCATCTCATGATACAATAATAAGAGACCAACTCTGGTGTTGTTGCATGACTGTGAATAATCATGGGGCAATGACACACACACACACACACACATACACACACACACGTACATAAACCCACATTCATGATGCGTTAATCACATCATCAACTTGTTAATGTCTGATTCACGGCCTGACAAACAGCTTTTTTCTTGTTCCACTTCTAAACATTAATTTATGACCTTTGACCTGAAAACTTTTTTTTTTTTTTTTAAGTCGACGGTCAGCTTTTACTGTAGATACGATGCAACACTGCACCCAAGTGGCACCCGAGATGGGCCTCAACACAGATACAATAGGTTTAGTTCTGCAATCAACTTTTTCCCAGGACTGAGGAGGCATCACTGGCACATAACATCCATAACATTATTTTATCATGAATTAACTTGTGTTAAAAATGTTTCGGGGGTATCTATTGTCTATTCACACACATCTCAGCCATCAGCCTAGCCGCTGACTTACCGGAGTGGCTGGTCTTTGATATTTGTCTGCAGGTTTTTCTCTGCGTGTACATTTCTGTTTTTACTTGTGTGAAGGAGAGCTTACATTTGTCAAGGCCCCGGCACCACATCTCAAGGGAGCTTACCCATAATACCATGGGACTGCCTCAAAGGCAGACCATTGGTTTCATTCCTTGTGTCCACACTGGGGTAGAATTTCACCCATCCAGTATTCACAGATTTTTGGGATTTCCTTCCCCCAGAAATAGTCATTTTTAATGTTGCCGCAGAACCCTGCTAAACACACAGAAGCCAGGACTTTTAATTTTTTTTTCTTTGACCGTTGATGGCCTTTCAAAGCCAGCGACATGGCAGGATTCCTATATTCTCCTTCACACTGCTGCTGCTCACAGCTTGAAAATCAGCCTTTAAAAATTGGATTTCAGGAGGCAGCACAACTGTACAGTTGCCAGGAGATTGAAGACCCAGTTACCAATGTCCAATATCTTTTAATCAGACACCATCGTCCTCTCCTGTTTTCTGTCAACAGCCGGTGACGGTCTTTTCTGATTTTCTTTTTTTTTTTTGGGGTGTGCTTGTCCTTCTTGTGTCCCCTTCACTCTCCACTTTCACTTCTCCACATTTTTCATGATTGTCTTCATTATTTTTGCGCTAATTATATTTGCCTTTTCCAGCCCTGTCCCTCCGCTCTATTTCCACCTTCATTATTATTTATACATCTTCATGGACTGCCTTCTTTCCACTCATACATTCTTCCTTCCCTTCACATCATTCTGCTCTCTTGGTTTTTCCAGGTGCTTTAAATATTAACAGGTCTTGTGTTTTTTAAGAATTGGGAGGGTTATTTGGAAGACATCCTCGCGATAAATGGTTTCTTTTCAGAATGGCTTGCGACTATTAAAATGTAGATTTTTTATATATATAATGTTGGTCAGACATGATATGAAACAATTGAAGATCCAACTGATTCTGTGACACAAATGCCTGTCACTCTTAATCAGGTGTTTGGTGCAATAATAATTAAATTCAGACAAAACAAATTGACGTATAGCTTTTTCAGTGCAGTAAAACAATGACAGCAGGTAATTTGCCCACTAGAGTTAGTTTGATTTAGCCAGCTAGCTGAAAAAGTAGCAAAAAAGACTCAATTAAAACCAGATTTGTGACATGCCAACATTGTAAAAACCTGTCAGTGTAGAGTAAGAGCAACGCCAACATTGTAAAAACCTGTCAGTGTAAAGTAAGAGCAAAGATAATTGTATGGAAGCTGTAAGCTTAGCTTTTGTATAGCAAAAAATACTCAAAATTAACTAAAAAATATAGCTACGATGTTTAGTGTTCTCGCAATCTATAAAATATATCTTTAACAGAGTAACTAAAGGCTAAAATAACATAGAAATAAAATCTGTCCACGTGCCAGAACTAACACCAAGACTGAGCTGTTTAACTTCCAGCTAACCATGAGTTATTCATCAAAACGGCTGAGATTAACTCTCTATTGAAAGTGAAAACTTCCTGACCCTCCCTCCTCTGTTCTTCTCAGTCTCCCCCTCCTCTTCCTCCTCCCTCTCATGTTTCCATCACCACCACGTCCACATCCTGCCGATGTCTCTCCTCTCTCTCCTCCCTCTCCAAGCTAACCCTGCTTCTTCTCATCGCCTTTACTTTATTAAATTTCCCGTCCGTTCAATTTGCCATCCTCCGTTCCCCACTATTGAATTTGCTGCTTTGATAAAAACGACTCCTTCAATCAAATGTTTAGAGATGTCCCTGATTTGATTAGCAGTGAAGTCTGAGAAACGTGTGTAGGTGTTTGTGTCTGTAGGAAAACATGATTAGCCCGTAACTGCATTCATGGCTAAACTGTAGCTTTGGTCTATATTTAATACTTTTGTTTTCAATATTTCAAATATTTGGAGTCACTGTGAATAAATCGGAGATATTATTTTTTTTATTTTCCATTGGCTTATAATAATAACATTAATTTGAGATCTATATATTTTTTTGTTTATTCTTGGCTTCCGTTTAAAAAGACCAGTTTTTACCCTGAATATAATAAATATATACCCCCTCGTATATTTAACATTAACTGTATTTTCTCTGCTTACTTTTAGTCGTTTTTTGGCACACCTTCATACTATCTTTTATACTACTAATTTTTGCTAACTTTCAATTAACGCTCAGCAAATTTCGCTAAGATATATTTGCATTTTTTGCTTATTGTGCATGCTGATATTTAAAAATTGACTTGGAGTTGAAATATTTGGATTTGTTTTAATTAACTTTTTAAAACCCCTGGCAAACACGCTCGCTCTAATCCAATCACATCCTGTTTATCACAATAATTTGTAATAGTGCTGAATCCAGTGGCAGTGTGTTTGTGTTGCAGTTCATTTCAGAGTCTTTGGAGTCACAGTAAGAGCAGTTTGCTCTTGGTCATTTCTACATTATTGGATTGGGCCATTGTGGGAAAAGGCTTTAACACCACTCTTAGATCCGTCAATACTACGATATCTTCCTTTTTATCTATTTTTCAGCAGCGTCCCTCAGAGCAGTAATGAAATCACCTCATGGTTCCTCTTGTACAGAAAAATGAACCAATGGGGGGAAAAAATCAAACCTCTGAACCCTTGTGCGTTTGTGTAATTTATTTCACTAAAGATGAGCCTGGCAACGCACCGGAGAGATAAGAAGTAAAAACACTGGGGGACACAAACACTCACGTGCAACATGCACACAAACAGTCACACTCAGACACACACTTTCACCCGTACCTCCTGCCTGCTCCTTTCTCCCCTGTGTTTTAATCCTCCTTGTCAGTAATTAAGGCTGAGCCCAGGGTTGGGGCAGGACGTGACTATCTGCAGGCAGGGGTTTGACTATAAACTGGATTTATGTTGGGAGAGTGGTATTAAAACCTTCTGCCCCTGCTGCTGGCATCAATGAGAGCATCTCTGCTCCATAACAGGATTTGTCCTCTGCTTTGTTATGTACAAAAAAAGGCAAAGCTGTCTTCTGAAAGACTAGATATCCCGGCTGGTGTGTAATACGCTGACAAGACATTCTGCCGCTTCCCCTCCTCCTCCTCCTCTTCCTCCTTCTTTTCACTCTCTGTTGCTCTCACTAGCCTCGTACAGAGACTCTGCGCTACCAGAAAGCTACCTGATGCACCCTGTACTACGCAGTACCTCATATTATTTGGTATAGAATTATTGAATAAAATACTAAAATAACTAATAATTTAAAACATAGCTATATGCTAACGTTTCTAAACAATAGCCAAAATATTGCATATGTAATTTAACATTGTTACAAGGCAAAACATATGAAATAAAATAGTTAAATTTTTACTAAGGGCATTAGTACTCAGACTTAAAAGCTAAAGAAATTAGATTTTATTTTTGCTTTTTTTAGTGTTAGTCAAAGAATGATTTGTTCAGATTTGTTGTCTAGTTCTTTAAAATAATTGTATAAAATTGGTGTACCCTATGTTTACCTCAGTGTACTGTTTTTAGAGATAAATATGACCTGGCGTAATAAAGCCGAATGTTTTGTTGCTTTAACATTGAGTAAATTCAAAATTCAACCGTTTTTTAAATATTTACGAACTTTGATTTGTTGGTTTTACTCCATCGTTCATCTTTTGTCTACAGCCTGTATATGTTTTTTTCTTCTTCTCCTCTGCTCTCTGTCTCCGTCTTTGTGTCTTCTCCATCCACACCTCTGGTTCCTCTTTGTCCTGTCTGTGATTCTGGCTCCCTGAACAGATAGAGATTTCGCTGTGTGTGTGTCCTCTCTGTAGACGCAGTCATATTGTCACAGACCTTGGGGATATGAGAGCCGAGGATATTACATTGTATGTCTCTGTGTGTAAAAGTGCAGGTTCCCGTCGAAGTCTCTGCTCACTGTTAAAATTTTGTAAAAAAAGAAAAAAAATGTATCTTAACCCAGGATTCAACTCAAAATTAATATTTCCCTCACTTCTCCGTCTCAGGCGTCTACACTCCAACAACCTCCACTGTGACTGCCACCTGTCCTGGCTCTCCGATTGGCTCAGGGCCAGACGAGGTTTGGCTCCCTTCACCCAATGCATGGCCCCCGCCCAGATGAGGGGCCTCAATGTCCCAGATGTGCAGAAGAAGGATTTTGTTTGTAATGGTGAGTACACACCTGTATGAAGAAACGTGTGCTTTAAATAAAATATTACAGATGTCCATGTTGCCTGAATGATTCTGTGAGGAAGATTTGGTATTAAGAATGAATGAAAAGCAATGAAATATAGAGAAATGTTGGCTCAGCAGATCTGATTTAACCATTTTAGTCCTGACTGAAACGCTTGTCCATAATCTAACTTTTTATTTTAAGTTGGTTTTCTATGTATTTGAAACTTTTAGCAATGTTTGCTAACTTTAAGCTATTTCTAGGCTTAACTTTAGTTTTACAGAAGATTAAAGCTATTTTTCATAAGTAATTTCTATTTACTTTCAGCCTTCTATACAATTTCTAGCTTTAGCTATCACTTAGCATCAGTGCTGCATTTTTTTGCTTTAACGTAACGTTAAAAGTTTTGTTATCTCCCCTTTAGGTTAAGGTTTTAAGGTTAAAAAAAGTTATTTCAAAGCCTTGGTTTTAGTGTTGTAGTTTGTTGATTATGTTATGGAAGTGAAACAATGCTCATGTTGACGTCTGAATTTTGGTGTTTTATAACTATTTCACAAAACAAATACGGTAATTAACTTAATGTCCATTACTAGCAGTAGCAGCATTAGTGTTATCATGTCCAGACAGCTCAGCACTGAGTTTAAAACACCGGAAGAATTATAAGTCACAGAGAGCATAATCAGCTAAAAAGGGCCAGTGTAAGAGCAGTGCTGTTATCAGCTGGAGATAGTACAGACAACGTTTATAGGCTTCTGATTCAGTGCTCTCTGCTAATAGTTTGTCAGGATGCTGCCTCTTTATTAGCCGTTCTGTCTTCTTCCTTTTTTCTTCCTTTTTTCTTTCTTTCTTTCTTTCTTTCTTTTTTCTCAAGCTCATTTCCTTTCTTCAGTATTGAATCAAATCGGTGAACGTTTCTATGTGGTCCACCCAATCTAACTTTATGTGTCCCATACCTGTTGGTCACTGTCTGTAGGTCCTGCCCAGACCGAGTTGAGAACGTGTGTCCCACAGGTGGCAGTGTGTCCAGCTAGCTGCACCTGTAACAACAACATCGTGGACTGTCGTCGTAAAGGTCTCACTGACATTCCGGCGAACCTCCCTGAGAGCATCGTGGAGATGTAAGAACGGCATTTTTGCATATTTGTGAACATTTTGTTTAGGACCTGTTAACTATTTTTTCCAGTAACTCAGTTTGGCTAATTCTACCTTAGTTTGAGGTTTTTGTTGTTTGATTAGATTTGTGGCTACCTTAAGCATTTTTTTAGCTAGTTTTCTTTAAACGTGAAACTATTCTTCACCTATTGTTGTCGTTTGTTTTTTGTTTTCTTATCGCAAAAATGTCTTAAGACCATTTCTTAAGACCAATTTCCGAAATGACATTGAAGTTCTTTGTGCTACAGTGACCCAGTAAACCAAGAAGACGCAGAACCAACTTTCTTTTTTACCGGGGGTATTAAACTCAAGGGCAAATCCAGATTTACCTGTTCATGATATGCTGTTCCCGTTACCTTCCGACACTGTTGAGGACACTCGTTCAACCAAAAGCCTCTCATTTGCGCCGCTACTCTTGCAAAACACAGTACATGAATTTCTCAAAGAAAAGGAATGAAAGCAGTAAAAAAAAAAAAGTCTCTGACACAAAGCCAGGTATGACATTTACCAACGTCTCCTTCAAACTTGTTCAATCCACTTCTCATTGCCTTCACAGTGGTTCGGCAGGTTCAGTCGTTCAGCGGGCAGTAGGAATCATAAATAATTTTAATGATCCTATTATGTTGTAGGACTCTAATTGGTAAAGTCATATTTGTGGATATGGAATCTGTCCATGATAAAGGCAGTAGATCTGAGTTTGTGCGTAAGCATGGGCTGTTTAAGTCTGAGTCCCAGTGATTTAGGGGGAAAAAACAGAACAATATGTGAACATGAAATGAATAAATAATGCTCTCCTGATGATAGACCACAGTTCTGGATAAAAATGGGAAAGGAACCCCATAATTTTATTGCTAATGCTTTTGTACTTTTGTGCAATTTGTAGGGAGGGCTCACATTTATAAGGAAACATTTTATATTATTGCTGTTTTGCTGCTTGGTTTTATGACTGGGATGACCTCGAAGGCCATGCAAACATGTCGAGATTACACACTTGATGCAAGCTTTGGAACATCGTTTTTTTTTTTTTAAGTGGTAGAAAAACTACCTTTTAAAATCACATTTTTTCCAATACATTGCTGTTTTCCCGAACACACACTCACAAACACACACACCACACTGGGATGTGTTTGATATCCGTATTGATCCCTCGTCCCTGTTTGTTTGTCCACAGGACAGCCGCTTGATTGCTCTGTGACTGAAGTGGCAATTCTGCCCTCGCCTCTGTAACACAGTAGCTGTACCTGCACAGCATCACTAATAGATGGGCACAACACACTAATGCATGGGCATGTATATGCAGCCATACTTGTTATGACGGAGGCTTCACCTCAGACACGAGTCAGTGGCAACGCAAACCAAAACAACACACCCCCCCCCAAAAAAAAAAAAAACATTAAAATTCAACACCAGTAAGACAGCAAGGCATGCTCCACTGGATCACATTAATATTTTTTTTGTGTGTACATTTTTCTAAATGAACAAGATTAGCAAGGCATGCTCCACTGGATCACATTAGTATTTTTTTCTAAATGAACAAGATTTCTACATCAAAATCATGAATTTGTTTATATGTGGTCCTTGCCATCGTCTTATGACTGCTGTGCTTATATATGACTGACTTCACATTAGATAAAGTGTATTGGAATGTATGTCTACTGGTGGTAATTCTACAGGAAATGGAAAGTTTAAGAGCTTTGCTGTGACACAAGTACAGTATTTGTTTCTTGTGATGTACATTGTAGTTCAATGGGAATTTGTAGTTGAGTATCATTGTTAAATATGCAAAAATAATGACATATTAACTGTATTACCAAATCTTTATTATATATTGGAATAAATCATCAGTTCATTTTCTTCTTGGCCACGGTCCACAGTCAAAATTGGTGTCATAAAAAGCTTTACAAATGTGACGATAGTAAATCGACATTTCAACCTCAACATTGGCTCCAAAATAAAATCCTGTGTTCTTTGAAAATAAGGGTGAAGATAAACAACAAATCGTGTGTCAGTGAAGCAGCCCACCTCACTGGTTCAGTGAAGGTCACCTCCCTGGGGAGGTCACATTTTAACTGAGGATGTGTTAAATCAGCTCTACATGCATTAGATTTTTTTTTTTTAAATAAGTCCTCCTAATTTGTCCTCCATTTAAATTAGCCTTTGTCATTGGAGCCTTAAGTGTCTTTTGCGCAACCTTGCTTTTCTGCCTCTGATATAATTTGTCACTTGTTATGCAGGGGCAGACGGTAAAAATCAATATCTAAACAACTGTTGAATTGCTTTGACCTCATCCATTGTAGCTGAAACAGGTCGTCCGCTGCCAGGAAATTTAAACAAGTTGTGCAAACTAAGACCAGAAATAAATATTTCATTTTAAAACCGTGTCTTATCTCCAGATCTCACAGTCACTGGTCATTTCCACCTGAATTTATTGACCTGCAATGTGTCTAAGGTCAGAATAGACATCAGTTCTGGTGAGCTGCAGTGATACAGGAAGGACAGAAAGACTGACAGATGGAAAAGGAGGACAGTGAGTGGAAGCAGAGGGGCAGTGGGAACTGAGGAGGAGAAGGACAGTGAGGGGGTGGGGTGGGGGGGGCTGTGGATTAGTTCCCATTTATCATTGTGACAGCTGACCCGGTGGCAGACCTTGGGACCTCACTTCACCCTCTCTGATTTTCTTTCTTTTCCCAAGTTGTTTGCTCTTTTCCACATCTCTGAGTTCTCCTCCTGTTGTCCTCCTTTTTCACTGCTTTTCCGTGGGGAGTCTTATGGGCTCACTGCTATTCCTCATTTCTTTTTTCCCTGTCCAACTTTACTTTTCTCCCTTCTGACTTATCGTAAATGTGGTAGAAAAAGTATCATGAGTAAAAAAAAAAAAGATGTTGGAAAAGAGGAACTGGAAGCTATTTTTATTTTTACTTGATAAAAAGCTAAAATTGATTTTTATTCATGAGGAAAGTCAATTCTTGAATTAGATAAGAAAATATAAACTACAGGATGTACAGTATGTAGAGTACAGTATAACATTATTTTGAAAAACCAAACCTTTATTATGTATTTGAAAGATGTCATAAAGTAGTGGCTTTATGTTGAGTGTGTTTACAGTATTTATTGTTAGTCGTACGTTTTTAACATGGCCACTTTGTAGTGTATAATATCGGACAAATCACCCACAGATATTTTAATTTATGGTTCAAACAAGAAAAAGTCACGAGGAGGATGTCAAACACTGACATTACATTCTTTTTAAAGAAAGTCTAGAAACATTTCACATTGATCAGTTGGTGCTAAAAATGAATGTGTATAAGGAAAATATTTATTGTATATTTATTATAACTTGAATTGGTGCTTTAATTCTTGATGGTGCAAATTTTAGTTTGTGTCCAGTTTACATTCGGTGTTATGGGTATGAGGAGAAGTGAAGTGAACTAGATCTATGAGATCTATGAGAGATGAGACTCGGTCCCTGTCGTCCTCTGTATCCACGAGTGTTTTTCAGCTGCAGCTTTATTCAAACATAAGAAACATAAGACATAAGAGCGATGGCTTCATGTAATTATGCTGGAGGTTAAAACATTAAGGTTCTCCCTACTCAATATTTTCCTTTGTTCTTTTTCTGTTCTCATCCTCCTGTCGATCTGTTTTCTCTCCAGTCGTTTGGAGCAGAACCTGATTAAAAGTGTCCCACCAGGAGCCTTTACTGCCTACAAGAAGCTGAAGAGAATGTGAGTCAGTCTGCACTCACACACACACACACACTGTACGACAAATGTAAGCTCACGGTTTAACAAATGTTATGCTAATGCTTTGAAATACCAGACTTTGTGGAAGGTTATTGATCCACCGAGGTGATGCATTCACCCAGTTCACCTGATGTAAGTGGGAACACAGACAGACCCGTGTGTGTGCCCGTACACACACATACACACACAGTGGAGGTTTAACCTTGGGAAAGTGTTAAATGATGTGACAGTGTTGTAAAAAAAAAAAAAAAAAACGACCAGTTAACACATCACTGCTTTCAGTCCTCTCCCTCCTTGGTCTTACTTTTGTTCTTCCTGCCTGTCAATCAAGACCCTCCCCACACACACACACACACACACCAGGCTCTTCCTCTGCCTTATTTTTAGATCCTGTCCCTCTGCCTTGACCTTTCCTGATGTATTCTCTCATCATCATTTGTCAGACTTGAAGGACGTGCACACAGAGTGAACCCCATTTGTTGTGTATTAGACTAATGCACTTATCTGCACTCTCTCTCTCTCTCTCTCTCTCTGCCTTCTCCCTCAGTGACCTGAGTAAGAACCAGATTTCCGACATTGCGGCTGATGCCTTTAGTGGCCTTCGCTCGCTCACTTCGCTGTAAGTAACATACATTCACCTGCTGACACAACAAACACCGTTCTCTTGTAGATAAGCTCATGGAAGCCGCTGTAATATCGGACATTTAGCAAATAAAAATGTCATTGTCGCCAACTGGAGCTGGATGCAATGCATTTGTATCTTTGTACACAACCGAGAATGAGTAATTGTACGTGGCGTGTGTGTCTTACGTGTGTGTGTACGTTGCGTGTCTTAGGGTGTGATAATAACATGAAGGACAGTTTAATTTGACTCAGTCTGGAGCATGGAAATGAGGCAGTCAGACAAGAAGGGGCAGACAAGGTGATCTCTCCAGGGTGTTAGGACCAAACACACTTACACCTAAATATGTTGTAGGGGGGGGGGGGGGGGGGGGGGGGGGGTTAGGTGAATTGAATGTTTTAAATGGATGAAAAAAGCTCAGAGTTCATATTTGTCTAATGGATGAAGTGGGGTTTAGAGAGGATTTAAATTTAAAAGGGTCAACATGTTCTTCAGCGAGCCTTTGTGGAATTAGGTTGGCGAAAGAAGAACTTTGCCACTCTATGAGTAAATCAGAAGTGGCTGAAAAGAACTTGAAAGCGGTGCAGGCCATCATGGCATTTAAAATGATTGAGTGTGTATATTGAGTATTGTTCTATAGTCATATAAATCATCAGCCTAACCTTGAGGCACAGCTAAGGTCGAAGTGTATGACGTTGAACTTAGATGTTTGGTTTAAACAACATGTTTTCATATCCTGACAACAAAATAAATCCAATACACTTCAGTCATCGGTGTAATTCAGATATAAAAATAGTGTACGTAGGCACCGCTCCACCGCTGAACTTTCAAACGTTGTATCCATTCAATTTTTGCTTTCTGGATATGAAAGGTAAATTACACACAAGTGGTTTTAGCTCAATTCATTTTGTTTGTTTTACCATAAACCGCCAGTGTCACAGAGAGAGAAAAAATACTTTAATTGGTGGGAAAAAAATAGCCGGCTAGTTTTTCCTGTACCCCTGGGGCCTGATTACGTCCAGAATGATGGCAGTAATGTATTTAACGAGATGGAGGAGCCAAGTTTAGACCTCATACGTCTTCATGTGTGAGCACAGACTTGTAAACACCGTGACCTCCATGTTGATTTGCTTGTTCTTTCAGAGTGCTCTATGGCAACAAGATCACCGAGTTGCCCAAGGGATTGTTTGATGGACTGGTTTCACTGCAGCTACTGTGAGTATCATCTGTGTGGCCTGTTACTCAGAGTGGACGTCTGTGTGTGTGTGTGGTCTGGAAAAGAAATGGAGTGGACGTCTGTGTGTGTGTGTGGTCTTGAAAAGAAATGGACATTAGTATATATATATATATATATATATATATATATGAAACCTAAAGTCTTGTCTCCTTTTGGCCTTATTCAAATGATTTGGGAGCAGACACTAGGCTAAATATATGCTAGTTATTCTGCGATAGAAAAAAAACCCACTGGCAACTCATAAACCCAGGTGTCGGTAATCGACTCTAATGTAAAGTAGCAGGTACTGTACTGGTACTGCATCCTCTCTCCAACCCTCCATCTGCTCTTTAATGGGCATCTGCAAAAAAAGTTTTATTTTATTAACCTGATCTACATGAAGCTGCACAGCTTGCTAAGGTTAAACCTGTCATCGTCGATAATTTTGCTAATATTTACTACATAGAACCAAACTATTTGTTCTCAGTAGGCACTGATTTTAACTGCAGCTGTGCTTCAGTGTGCAGTGAAATAAAAAAATAAATAAATAAAAAGGTCTATTTTTGGTCCCTGATATGGCGTAGTTCTGTATGGCCCCCCTGAAATGCCGCAGTCCGCTGCTGGGGCTGCTAATGTTCTGGGGTTTTCTGGATCGTAAAGGGAAGTGAGGCAGTGCAAATGAGGATGAGTAAATGTAAGCCATACTAACACCTTCAGAAGGATTAGGTGGATCACTGAGACGCATGGTGCAGTGTACAAACCGAGCAGTGGTTCAAAAGAAGAAAGAAGTATATACAATGTGGGAAAAAAGAACTGAATGAATAAAGAGAATACATCAGTAAAAGGTGGACAAACAGCTAAACTGATGCTAATACAAATGTACAGTAAGTCACTCCAGAGATACATTCATGGTAAACAGCCAAATCTGATTTGACTTCATTAACAGGGTGGTAGAAAAAGTGCTTCTCTCAGCACCCGTCATGGTGGTAACCCTCCTAATTTGATAATCAATGTAGAAAGCTCTAAATGAGTGGTTAATATTCATTGTTTTTGCCACATCACTGGTCACTGGCAGTAGGTGTTGGTGCTCATTCAGCAGCAACACTCAGGGAATACATCTTCATTTTTTTCTTTTTTTTTTTATGTTAGCTTCTGTCGGAGGACAAGAAAATCCCAGACGTTTGACTGTTATTTCCAGGATTTTTTTTCTATAAATAATTTTAATTACAGATTATCTGTAGTCCTGGTCGATCAGGCACTATGTCAACCATTTATGACAAATGTGTGCTTATTGTTTCACATCTCCATCACGTCTGCTGTTTGTATGGTTCCACTGCTGTGTTTTACTGGTGCAGCTTCGAGTAATTAGTTCCCCCTGTGAGCTGCCTAATGAGGCGTGAATGTGTCGCAGAGCTGCGTCTGTGGGTGTGTGCGTGTGTGTGTATACAGTAGAACCGAGGTGAGAGTGTGTAGCCACTCATTAGTATGACTGAGGTGATTAAACTCAGCTTCTGGACCGAGCTGCAAGTTAGTCACTTGTCAAACACAGTCGGAGAGGAAAAAAAAGGCACGGAATGGACACGATGGAAAATGAACTGTTTTCCCATGAGTCTCTTGCCCTTTGTTTTAGGGGCATTTTGAACGACTACTAGGGACAGTTATGCAAATATTTCTATCATCTGGATAGAGTTTAAGTTTTTTATCGCCTTACGAAAGGTTAACTTCACTCTAAGACCTTTGGCTTTATTGAGGCATTTTTGTTAAACTTTGATTGAATTGATTTTTCTTTTTCTTTCATTTAATATAAATATTTTTATTTTCTCTCTAGTCTGCTCGTGGACATATTGCATTCTGACAATGAGGATGTCCTTAAAATATAGTGTATTCCATATATTTCTGTGGTATATTGCATTTAGCTTTCCCATTATTTTGTACTATGTTGAAAGTTAATGAATATATATATATATATTCAGAAAATGTACAATGCATGTTTTGATTATAAAGCTTAGAAAAAGAAGTGAAAATGGCTCGCACATTACATAATTTAGACTTTATGCTAAACAAGACAACTGGTATTTGTCATACTGTATGATTACTTTAGTACCATTACAAACATAGGTGTGTCCTAAATATATTGGTATACTTGTTGATGATTTTGAATTTATTTCTGTTATTTACTTATCACAGAAATAGATGGTGAAAACGTATAATAACAAACATTTCAGATTCATTAGAAATGTCAAGAAAACAAAAGAGACAGATTTGTGTGTGGAAAAGTAACGGGGATAAGGAAAGACACGGTGAGATAAAGACGACAGTGAGTGAAAGTTGTGGCCTTGCAGTGAGGCCGTATCTGAGAAGGATAAATGATCTCATTATCTGCATATGTGATTATCTTTTGTCAGTGTAGTGCACACAGATAATGGAGCTAAATAAGTAAAGACTAAATAAATGCTGGCTATCTCAACCTTTCTGCATCGCAGGCTCCTGAATGCCAACAAAATTAACTGCTTGAGAGTCAACACCTTCCAAGATCTGCAGAACCTCAACCTCCTCTCGCTGTACGACAACAAGCTGCAAACCATTAGCAAAGGGCTGTTCGCCCCTCTGCGCTCTATCAAGACTCTGTAAGTACACCACTGTGAGTTTGTTGAAGGAGTTGTTAAAAAAAAGTTTCTCCTAACTGGTACCTGGTGTCAGTGTTGTGTTTTCCGATCCAACTTAGAGGAAAACAGATAGCATCTAACACCAGCATTAGCATAACAGCCTCCATAGTAGCCTTCAGCACAATGTTTATTAGAATGAACTTAGTTCCTGCCACGGACATTTTTTAACACATTGCAGAGGGTAATCGATGAGAGTCTGTCTATAAATTACATACAGTAAGCTAGACCCTTAGCCAACAAGGTCTTGTCCTACAGACCATGAAGGTTGTTGGCACCGTTGGTTGGAGCCAATAAAGTGAGACCACAGACGGTATATAATTAATGGATATAGCTATTCGGATGTAAAAGTTAAATCCCCCGGAAACAGGAGCCAAAGCAAAAAAAAAAAAAGCAGTTCTTCTGTCTTTGTCGTTAATAGATGTTCCCTTCAGCCAAACATGGCCATAAGATGACATATGGAAAAGTTAGCCAGGGGTGCTAGAGGCCAAAACAGACAGAGAGTCAGCCAGAAGGGGCTACTGCTGACAGCTGCTTTAAGATAAGACTAAAAACAATGCAGTTTCAAAAACTCTGTTCTGTTTAAACGAAACTGGAGCTACATGATCAAGTAGAAACGAGTAACAAATGAATACAAATAGAGATGTTTACTTTTGTTCTAAAAGAAACCTGAAACAACATTTCCTATTTTTTCCAATAACATAACTGTCTCTCCTCCTGACTCTGCCCTTCAGACATCTGGCCCAGAATCCCTTTATGTGTGACTGTCACCTGAAGTGGTTGGCTGACTACCTGTTCGACAATCCCATTGAAACCAGTGGCGCACGCTGCAGTCACCCAAGGCGACTGGCCAACAAACGTATCAGCCAGGTGAAAGGGAAGAAGTTCAGATGCACAGGTAAGGCAGGGGTTCTTAAGCCACCGCAATCATTGTTGTAAAGTCACAGACAAAGAACAAACCAGAAAAGAAAATGGATTTTAAAATTTTCACTAATAAATGTGACACGTAAAGTAAGCCACAAATATGACAGCGGTTTTCCTAATAATTCAAAATGACTTTATTACAGCATATAAATAAACAGAAAACTGTGTGCGTTCAATATGAACACAAAGTGCAGGCAGGCTGTGTTTCTCTTTTATTTCCTTTGCAGTTGTTTCCTTTGACACGAGTCATGAGTCTTTGTAATTACAACGCAGCATCTTGGTGAAGCTCTGTCAGCTCTGTCAGATCTCAGTCGGGAGCAGACACAGATGTTATCAACCACTGTGTTGTTCCGACAGCGTCACGTCAAATTATATGAACCTTTTTTAAAAAAAAAAAAACTGCTCTCTATGTTTTGTATATTTGTAACATTCTTCTTGCAGATATTCAACAAAGTACTTTTATGTGGTAAGGTGTAGATGTACATGTCTGCTTAGTCAGCCGTGTGCATTTGTCCAAATCTGAAATTACCTTAAAATCTGAATGTTAATAAAGGCAGGAGAAGATTGTTTTAAGATGATATTATCTCGAGGTTAAAAATTTGCATTTGCAATTTTGATGAAGCAGTGTTTTTAAATTAAATTTAGGAAAGACGTGTTTAAAGACGTAGGGTAACAAAGTTTATTGTTGCAACTCAGTTACATCATCAAATCTCTATAATCTTTTATTATAGAGCCGTGTGCTGTTAACGTTCTTTTTAGGGAAATGGAAACACAACCTGAATAAAAAAGAGAGAAACTTTCTGTGAAACTAGTGTAAATTCATGTACAGTATTTTAAACACACTGGTCATGGTTAAACCGATCTAATTCTGATGAAAACGTGAGGACTAGTTAGATAGGTGGTTAAGGGACCTAAAGCTTCCGCTGGTTCTGGCCGTCCTCTCTGCTTCAGCTCCTCCTCTCTGCAGCCCCATGCCTTTACCTGCATCTCCTCTTCTTCTATGAAGCTATGCGGACCCTATTGCTATTGGTCGGACACTTCTCTGGCTCCGCCTCCCTCCCTGTGTGGATCCGCAGCTGTCTGTTGCCCTCTCCTCCTGTCTTGTATAGACACTGACTCCTCCCCCCTGCCTGACTGACTGGTGCAGCTCTCTGTTGCCCCACCTTCCTCCTGTGTGGATCCGCATTCTGATTGGTTCGTGCAGCTGTCTCTTGTGCTTGATCTAACCATGTGGCCCCGCCTATCGTGACATCACATGGTTCCGTCAAGCGCCAGGGACCGCCCAGCACACTCCCACCTGCCTGTCCCAGCCAATCACATGCCTTGGAGCACAAAATTGGGGGCTTTTTGTTTCTTTTTGCATTAACGTGCGAGGGTGACGTGTTGTCTGCGACTATTACCAGTTTAAGAAAAAACGCATACGCACACACGCGTTAAGAAATCAAAACTTTTTTTTTCAGTCGTCCCAAACAGGTTTGGTTGTATCAGTGATGTTGAAGGCACCACACCCTAATGACGTATGAAATGGTTTTCCGTTATTGTTGCGCTTCACTGACGGTCTCTACTGAGAGGATATCATGTATGAATTGAAATATTGCTGCACCTGCTTGTTCACCTAACTCCCACTCATTTCCTTTGGTTTTGGAAAAATGTTTTATCTATAGGTTTGAATCGATAAATAGCGTTCCAAGCATCCATAGTCTACTGCAGAGCTGGGCAGCACGTGGCCCGTGGGCCACATCTGTCAGTCTGGGTTCACTAGATTTTCTCTCTGTTCATATCCTTTTACCCACTCTACCTCTTTTTTCTCCATTTATTTGTGTCTCCCCACCCTCTGCTTTTGGTTGTCTGTGTGTCACTTTGCTCTCGTCACTCTCCTCATTCTCCATCTTTGTTTTCTCCCGTTCAGGTCAGGAGGACTATCGTAGCCGACTCAGTGGTGAGTGTTTCCAGGACCTGGTTTGTCCTGAGAAATGTCGATGTGAAGGCACCGTCGTGGACTGCTCCAACCTCAAACTGACCCGTATACCTCCACACATCCCTGAGCACACAACAGACCTGTAAGACGATGAAGATCATTTTTCTCTCTTTCACAACACTCACGCACTAACTTAGATATATGGTGTTTACAAATGACCGTGTTTAAAGCCATTGAACATGTTCACATCATGTCAAAAACACAAGCGGGAGTTTTTGTATGCATTTTCCCTCGACAGAAATGTACATATGAAATGCGTAAATACACATGCACATATAAATGGAATGTAATGAATCCTAATAATGCCAATATGCCAGTCATTCTCTCTTTTCTCACTGCAGCATCAATCTTTATATTGTGCTTCCCGACCCCAGAAAAATGCCTCTCGACAGACTTTTCAATCTCCTTCTCTGTCCCAAAGGAGCCATCATTGTGTCTGGCACAGAGTCTTACACTAGAAAAACGAATAGTCCCATGGATCATTCATTTCTCTGCTGAAAAATGGAACACGGGTTTCAAACTGACGTGCAATTTGTGGACGTTGAGTTACCTTATCGTGCATGTTCACAACCCGTTAGAGATCCTAATAGATATGAATATATTGAGGAAATCCAATCATAAAAGTTTTCCACAGATCTGTATTTTGAATGAGCTTTGTCATTAATAGAGTACAAAGTCAAGTAGAATAAATCCCAATGTAAAAGCTAGAATTTTTAACTGCAAACTTCTGACCATAGACTCATACTTTGCTTGGCCAGATGCAGCTTGGCTACTTTTTGAAGTATTTCCAAATAAATATAATTTTATGGGAAATGGATTTTAAACCTTAACTTAATTCTTTTCTGTTCACATCTGCTAAAACATAGACCAAAATTTTATATTTTGAATAGTTTTAAAAGCCATACAGCAGCTTCACAGACAGGTTCTTATGGGTTTGATAATTATGACCATGGTATTTTTATGTGTAAATAAAATGAATACTTCTTAGTAAACCAAGCCTTTTAAACAAAGCCAGTATTCTTCAGAAATTCTATGTTAAATCTCCCTGCAGCAGTGAACCCCTGCAGCAGATGCAGGAGGTTTGTCACAGTATTAATTATAGAGGTTATTTGTCTAGTGGCGAAACATCACTCCCACTAATAATGTCAGTATTTCACACATCATTAGCCTCAATTTCTTCTGCCTCTGTCTTTTCGGTTCTTTCTTTCTTTCTTTCTTTTTAGCCATTATGTTCTTTTGTCCCTTCTTTGAGTTTTATACATCAGAAATTAAACTTTGTCCTTCACGGTTGGCTGGAGGGCACGTTGAAGTTTGGGCCATTTTCGCAGCTTCTGTTCCACTTGCTTTTTCTTTAAGTGTGAACGTGTTGAATGGCACAAACATACAGAGAGAGAGAGAGAGCTGAAAGTTGTGCCCTCTAACCTTCACGTGTCAGGGGAAATCAGAAGAGGTTATGGTCCAGCTGGAGGCTTATATATGTTCGTAGCTCTGGTCCTCACTTCTGTCTGTCTGTCAGACTATTTTGTGATTCCTCCCATGCGCTGTAGGGGACTTTGACATCAGCTCTGAAGCTCAGGAAAGCATGAAAGAATCCGTTTAAAAAGCACTCGATAAAACGTAATGAGTCAAAACCACGAGTCCAAGAAGATCAGAAGATGCAGGGGAACAAACAGAAAACGTTTCAGATTACTNNAAGCAAACGTTTCAGATTACTGCACCCAAATCAATATCACGTTTCTGCCACTTTTGGTCCACATCAAATAGTGCAACGTGTTATTTTAGTTTACTTTCATCCAGGTTTATTCATCTTTTATCTTCTTCCCAATCTTATTAAAGAGCTTCCCTTCCAGCTGAACTCCAACTTCTTTTTACTCCACCTATACACACTGAAACACAGTCAAACGTTATCCCTTTAACAACAGCATTTTAGTACAAATTACCTCCATAAAGCAGATGTCTAGCTTTCTGTTTTCCCAAACAGTTCTCCCTTAGCTCAGGGCAGCACAGGTATTGATGTTCACATAGAAAAGATTTCTCCTCTCTATTTTCCCTTCTCAAAAGCCTTTTAACCTTGGCGCGGTCATGCCTCCCCTGACTCTCAGCACCTCTCTCCTGTTTAGTGTGTGTTGCTCTGTGCTTCTTTCTTAATGTGTCTGTTCAATCCAAGCTGCCGGGTTCATGAAAGAGTAAATGTCTGACTCACCGCCTTCATCTCTCTCTTCGCAGGAGGTTAAACGACAACGAGATTGCCGTCCTGGAGGCTGCAGGGACGTTTAAGAAGCTACCTAACTTGAGGAAGATGTACGTATAGACGCTCATCTGTCAGTCCTTCTGTTCAGCATCTGCCTATCTGTGTTGGTAGGCAATGAACTGGGAAATGGGGATGTTGTTTATCGCTGCAGAATCTGCAGCGTTACAGTTGCCAACTGTTGTGGAAAAACACCATCAGCAACAGAATCTGTTTGAATGTTTTATACCCGGAGGGTTAGAATAGGTATGACAATCACCAGATTAGAGAAGAAATAAGTTAGTGGGAACAGATGGGTGAGATGATGGTGAACTGATCAGGAAAACAACTAGTGTTTTACCAGCAACAACACAATTGTCGATTTAAAAAAAGTATCAAATTATCAAAATACGTTTGAGTTTTGTTGGACAAGACACCTGATGCCTTTTGAAACAATGACAGACTATACTTTGCATTCAGCATTCAGTTGTACTTTTGAAAAGAAATTATATATATATATATATACAAACATATATGTGAATGTAAAAACTGCAGAGTTGTTGATTTTATTTTAGTCAAAAAAAAAAAAGTAAACTTGACAATAACTTAAGGAGACAGTAAAAAAAAAGGAATGCAGAGCGATAAATAACTTGACGTGGAAGACTGAACAGTGAAATGGAGAGAACAAAGGCCTAGATGTAAAAAAAAAAGTGAATGATAAATAAGAATAGAGGACACGTCTAGGTTCAGATTAACAGTTAGCTGTTATCCTACCGCTGATGGGTGCTTGTGTGTGTGTGTGTGTGTCAGAGTGAGATAGAGAAGAACAGTGGTTGATTTATTGGTGAGGAAATTGCTAACCATCACGCTGTGTCACTGACGATATAGATTCTCGAGCACTCATTTCCATTTCCCGTTTTTTTTTCGATCTCTTCCCCTCCCCGTTCATGTCCTCGTGCAAGATCCCATCCCTCCATTCGCCCTGTGTCTCAACCATCATGGCAGACATATTTGTTAAAGGCTACTTTGCTCAATGGCCTCACACGTTCTCAATTTACCTTTTTTTCTTCTAGATAATTGACCAAATTTGATTAACTGTGAGCCAAGTGTCTCTGCTGCATAACATACGATATGTTTCTGATCATATTTTAGACAAACACTGCAAAAACCAGCAGGAGTTTTAGGGGAAAGAAAATTAAAATAATATCGGAACTATATAAAGAAATACGCTTGAGACCAAAATTAGCTGTGAGACTTAACCTTCACAAAAAAAGTGTAAAACAACTATCACCAAATATGTTTTGTAAAATAAAAAACAATAATAATAAAAGAAAAATGAGCCAAATTAACCAGATTATCGTCAATAACCAGAAAATGGTATTTCCCTTCAAATTACCTTCTAACCTTTAGCGACTACGTAGCCTACTTTTCTATGTAAATGTTTTCTCGTGCCAGGATTGACCCCCGGTCTGGAATCAGTTTTATGGGATTTAATCAAAAACGCAAAGACAGCTATGGATGAAAGCTTTAGTGGCTGTGATCATTATCATCGCCCGACGCTCTCTTTTAATTTTCATTTTTCTTGTTGTGTGAGCACAGACGAGAGATGGAAATGATTCCCTCGTATCTCTGACCACTCACCTCATTTACGCGTGTGCGCGTGCTTGCATTATTGTGAGCGGTTATCGCTACATCTTCTGTACGGAGATGAGGACATTAATATGAAATAGACTAGTGTTAACATGATTGATGACAGCAATTACAGCGAGGAAACTGATGTGTGGATGTGTTGTCCCTGAGGGGTAAAAAGGTAACATTTATATGAGCAGCATGTGTCAGAATAAAACTACGTACAAACCGCCATCTTTGTGTGTCTTGCAGCAACCTGAGCAACAACAAGTTGAGGGACATACGTGACGGTGCGTTCGATGGCGGCAGTGGAGTTCTGGAGCTGCTGCTAACAGGAAACAAGCTGACAGGGATACAGGGGCGCATGTTCAAAGGCCTCACTGGACTCAAGACACTGTGAGTGAAGTGGGCCACATGTTTTGTTGAATAGCCTAGGTTTTAAGGCTTTAAGTTAGCTAAGCTTGAATTTTACCGTCAATAGAAGTATTTCCTTGGACCTAATAAACTCTCCTTGCTTTCAAGGGCTTTATATAAATTTATGGTTATATTATTTTTGCAATTGGTGCCTGTGTCCAACTCAGAGAACTTCATTAGTATATTTTCCTCGTCTGGAACTCAAAAATAAAGCTAATGACTGCTTACTGTTTTTTCCATAGTTTTTATGGCCACCAAAAAGAAGGCCAGGGTCCAATTAGAGGTTCCAGGAGAGTGTACACAAATCTGAGCTAATGTCGTCTGCGTATGCTCACTAATGACTGGCTAATGCTATCACGCATATATCTATAGAGTCTAATGAGTCTCTAATGGTATCACTGCTGTCTCTGGATTATGTTAAGAGGCTCCCTGCTTCAGTAATAGCCTTGCTAACTAGGTTAGCTTGTCCCAGATGTCGCTAATGCTAACTAACTCAGTTAGCCTGGTCCATCATGACTGGATGTGAAAAGCTAATGTCATATTACACAGTCTGTTCCATTTGTCTTATGGGAACGGTCTGAATGGCCGACCCAGTCTGCAGCGCCTTTAAAGGGTTAATCTGATATCAATCTTTGCTGTCGCTTGAGCATGTTTGTACTGTGTTCTTTACTTTCTCAACTTTTTTTAGGATGCTGAGGAGCAACCAGATTAGCTGCATTGACAACCAAACATTCACGGGTCTGAACTCAGTGCGTCTGCTGTCACTGTACGACAACAGGATCTCCAGCATCGCCCCAGGAGCATTCTCCACCCTACACTCCTTGTCTACCATGTAAGTCTTTTGCACCAATCAGCCAGTGCTAATTGTACTGGCCGAATGTTAGAATCCTATTTCAGCAACAATTTTATGTGCACATTTATACAACGTCATGTACCTCTAACACAAGGAGAGAGGCAGTACTGGTGAGAAAGCTGACTATAAACAAAGAAGGAACAGAACCCAAAATGTTTCACTTTTAACATGCAGTAGTGTCATATTTGTCTGCCCAGTCCAGTGGTAGCATTGTCATTTTTCACTGAAATACAATATACCATACAATACCTACAACATACTCCTACACAGAGATTGTGGATTGTAGTGTTTCCCCCTTTTCTTAATGTAACATTGAATTTTCTTCAAATCCCTCCAGTTGTCTGCATCAATATAGCATTTTTAGCATGCCTTTGTTTTCAAAACCTCTTGACCTCTTTTAATTTCTTCTACTTTGGAAACTGTCCAAGTGAAGGAGAAATGTCCCCTCCTATCCTGTCTGCTGTGTCTTTTCTCTCTGTTCTTTCCTCTTGTGTTCCTCCTTCTGTTCTCGTTCTCTGCGCTGCTGTGTTCCTGTCATCTTCCATTGAAGTTCCATCTCAGGTCTTTGGGGAGAATAGTTGGCAGACATGAAGGAGGAAATGGGACAAGTGAGGTGAAAGATTGATGATATAGACACAGGTCAAAATGGAAATGATATTATATGTCGCCAGCATTTGTCACTATTAATTTCCCTTGTTATTCTGTATTCATCGGTCCTGTCTAGCATTTAATTTACTATGCAACACCTGTCTGCTTTTGAGCATGAAAGAAAGATGCGAGGTTTTCGAGTGGAAAGCCAGCCTAAAGGGATAATTCAGGGGTTTTGAATGGAGGTTTCTTGAGGCACTGTGACAGGCAGAGCTGTGTGTATCAATGACAGCCCGTCATAGTGACAGCTATGTATGATATATTTCCATGTTACATATATTTACATTATTGTGAAGGTGAAACTAACTGTAGGGACAGTTAGCAGTTCAGGATTAACACACAGAAGCAGTAAAACCAAGGCTGTGTGTATCACTGCAGTACGGTGTAGTATGTTGTTCAACAACAAAACGTGTACATTGGTGCAGGTTAGTCTAAGTGGAGCTGCAGCTCACCCTGTGCCTACAGTTCAAGATTAGAAGTGGTTTTGTTATAAACTGAGCAATGATTCGACTGTTATCAGGCAAACAGTGCACAAACATAAGACCTTTGTGAAATAATTTAGCTTTTACAAGTACTTCTTGTGTCAGAATCCCATTTGAAAAGCCAGTAGTCTCTCTTTGACATCCACTTTCTTGGTTTTATTAACCTCCTACTCCTACCTCGTCTTTTTGTCTTTCTCTTTCACCTCCTAATTTAACTTTTCCATTCTGCTGCATTGCTTCCCAGACCCTTACTCCATTCAATTAAAAGATTAACAAAGTGAAAAGGAAAGAAGGGACTTCGCTTAGGTCCGGTGGCCAGGCACTGAGGTCATTTCATTACAAGGAAATGAGGAAATCACTCGTCCCTATCTGTAACAGCATACCATAAATATTGTACACAAACAGCAGCGTTTGGCTCTGTCAGTGAAGCTGCAGTTTCAGTGTATGGCAAAAAACAGAAGATTCACAGCAGTCACTTGATCGTGAGCATTAAGTGAAGGCAAAGGTGTGTGAGCTGCTTTGAGGTGGCTGTGTGATAGTCAAATACAGCCCAGTGTGGAATCTGCATAAATATCACACCAGCCGATTGGTGAAAGGAACAAAGAGTCGTGAGAGTTGATCAAAAGTGACTAAAATGCAAAGATGACCTTTTCTCCTTTTCTTCCTCCCTCACTCAGCCGCCTTAACCACCGTTTCATTCTGCAGCTCTTTTTTTTTTTTACTTTACAAACCGAATATAAAAAATGATCTGATAACCTTTTCTTTCTGCCACTTTTTCCCCCTCTCCATTTTCCACATTATCTTTTCCCACTTTGTCTTTCAATTTAAATATATATTTGTTTGTTTAAATGGCAGGAGAAAAACAGCCGCTCACCGTATCGTTTCTCGCAAATAATTCACAAACGTGAAAGGCTTCTCGTCTCTTGTCACTGCTGATGTATCGCTCTGTGAATTTTAGTTTTTTATGACTGGATGTGCTGCCTGTAAATCTGTACTGAGTGTTCGTCTTGAATGCAAAGTTCTTGCTCACTCACATAAAGATAATTTATCCAGAAACGTGGCTGTTGTTTACCCGAAATCTGTGAGTTTTCCAGGGAAACCTCATTATGTTAAGGAGAAAATGTCTCTAAGTAATGTAGCTGTGCTGTAGTAGTGTGAAATGACTTTCTTTTAATGAGCTTTTTTAGAGGTGCTTTGCATCAGATTTTCCATTTGCTATTCTAACTAAACAGTATTATGGAAAAAAACTTGTTTTTCTACTTAAATTAGGATTTCACAAATCTAGGAATGTGGTAGATGAACTCATAAGGATTAAATTAATCTTTATATGAATAGTATTTATATCACAGAAATCTTTTAGTTATATTGAAATATCAATAAAATACATAGTTTTAATGCAGGAAATGCCAGTAAATATGTTTATGACTTAGACTTAGACTTAGAGACTTAGTCTTTCTAGACTGCACAGAAACATGCACAATAATATGATGGTTAATCCTAATCAGACAAAGCTTTTCAAACAATACTGCATTAGTAAATCTGAGGACAAAGATCCCTTAAAACCATTTCCTACAATATATGCTAATATGAAAAACCATTTCCTACAATATATGCTAATACGAAAGCGAATACGAATTTTTTTTTTTTTTTTTTTTTTGGTTTGTTTACCAATAAGAACCTTAAACATGAATCAAAGATTAAATGTTATAGAACTATAGCCGAAACGTGGCCTCGTAAAACAGCCTTAAAATATCTGCAAGGTTGAATTAATGTACTACAAAGGAGCTCAAAATATTAAAATGTCATTTTTTAAAAATATTTTTAAAGTAAAGAATTGGATTGGAAAACAGCTCTGTTGGCTTTTTGTAAGTCATCATATAAATCATATTTATAATCATCAGTTATCTAAAAGAACAGAAAGATTTTACATCATTACATCAATGAAGTTCAAAGTGAAGAAAAAAATAATTTTGTTTTAAATGCCCCCTATTCATTTAGTCTGGGCTGAACCAATCTTTTTTTTTTACCAATAAATGCCAAAGTAGTTTGATTTGTGCACTAGCAGATACCAAGTACTAACACTGTTACTTCTTCCAGGGTGTGATTTGGAAAGTGTTCAAGTATAAGTATTTGAAAGTGTAATGTAAAGCTAAATTTAGCTTATTAGTGTTTTATTTAAAGGTCAAAATCCTGGTGGTTTTAAATCATCCAGATCATCATCTAACGACCATCAAGCCACCAATCCTGGGCTTTAAAGTCTTTAATCTAATTTTGTCTACAGTAACCTGCTGTCCAACCCATATGTCTGTGACTGTCACCTGTCCTGGCTGGGTCAGTGGCTGAAGAAGACCAGGGTGGTCAGTGGAAACCCTCGCTGTCAGAAACCTGCCTTCCTCAAAGAGATCCCCATCCAGGATGTGGCCACTCCTGACTTCACCTGTGACGGTGAGCACAGTGTTATCTGCTCCGTTTACTTTAGTAACGTTATGCATGCAAGCACAGTGTTATCTGCTCCGTTTACTTAACGTTATGCGCTCACTGTCAACACCTTGAAATAGTGTTGAAATAATTCTCCAGGTCCTGACTGTAAATACTAAACATTTTTAAAGTCATAGTGGAGTGTTAAAGTGCCGTAGTAATGAAAACAGGTGACAGTGTGAAACTTGATGAGGTGTCAGTCAGCAGCCATGTGTCCTGCACAGATAAGAGTGTCACAGAAATGATTGAAAGGTAAATTAAATATGCATCTCCGTCCGTGTCCTCGCTCCAATACCTGACTGCAGTCACAAAGGCAGTTTGTAGGTGTTTTTCCCCAGTGAAACATTTGATGTGTCTGTGGAAATGCAACTCCAGTTTTAACGTGAGGCGCTGGTGAAATGTGTATACACGCTATACATACACACATCTACACGCTCTACACTTAAAATAATTACATACACACATCTACACGCTCTACACGTAAAATAATAATTGTTTGTTTGTTTTTTTTCTAGAGAGAGGCAGACAGAAATATCTTCCATTTGACATTTTTGTCTTACATATGACAATTTGTTCCGATACTTGTTGCAGAAACTTCCATTATCCAATGACTTAGGTCAGCGACAAACACAAATGCACACACACACACATTCGAACATGCTCTGGCGGGTATTGTGAGGACAGAATGATCAGTAACCGCTGGCAAACGGCGTCCTTTGATGACATCACTCTGTGGTTTTTCTCAGTGACGTGGCTGTGACCACCACCGTGCCTTCCTATAGCTATTTAGTGCGTCGACTCAGCCGCCAAAATTTGACGACATTAGCAAAGTGTGGTCTGGCTCTGTCTGACCATTACATCTTTTTATTTCTTTTTTTTTTTTACTGTATTTATGGTTTGAAGGACAGGCTAAACTCTTTAGCTTCTCCCTGCGCCCGTGTCTCTCCTCGCCATCGCTCTCTACCTCCACAGTTTCCCTGAATTCATTACACTTTTCTAATTTCCTGTCGCCATGCTGCAACCATTTACTCAAAATGAGTTTGGAAAGTAGTTAGCGCTAGGTTGGCTCAAGTAAAGAGGATTGTGAGATCCTATCGGAGCTTAATATTTATTCTTACGTACAGCACGTGTGCCAGCGAAATGAAAAAATGTATCGTCAAACGTCAGCTACACTGACAAGAATGTGCAGGTTTAATACCAATACTAATGCCAGAGGGCGCTGTGTCTCAGAGCACTTTAAAAACCTTCTTTGAATGCTACATTTTGACTTTGAGATCCAGACTAGGATGTAACAATCCAACAGTCCAATGTAAGGGAGACAACCGACGATTGTAAACAAGCCGTCTTTCACATGGAGCGGCGCTTGACAACGTGTTTGTCTGCTCTGCTCGCCAACCTGTTCCTGTGTGAAGTAGTTGATGGTGATGGAATACTGATAGAATAAGACTTTCTTAAACCAAGGACCCTATGTACATGGAATCTTGGGAAACATCCCCTTCATAGCCTGGGACCATGAAAAAACGACTCTGCCATTTCATAGCCTGGGACCATGAAAAAACGACTCAACGCCATTTAAGCGACTGTTGAATTTTCTATCAGTCCTATCCAAACCTTAAGCTGCACAGTATGTAAAAATTGATAGTGTCTGGTTTTAGATGATGGCTGTGAGGGGCAAAATATGTCCCGTTAATTGGAAAAACATTATACCAGAAAGTAAGAGTCAGATTTATAAATGGAGCCAGGCAACATCATTAATAGACCCGGCTATTATTGTGATGTCAGAATGCCATTGGACGATCCAGCCAGTAACACTATTATCTGGTTTCATTTAATTATTTATTTATTTTTCTTCTATACTGGAATCTAATTTACACAATTTACATTATGTTGCATTGATTTACCTACAGCGAAATAAAATATAAGATCATCGTAACATCGGTAAAGCATTTGCATAAGGTTAAAAAAAAAAGACAGGGCTTCAGTGAATCAACGTCTGAATCCATTTCTGTTTTACAGTCCACCCTCCTCTATAAGTGCATTGAACAAGTCATGTGGTTTTTTGACAGTGTAGGGACATCCACTGTGGAGGCTGAGTCCCACCGCGACATTTAGGTTGTTTTTTTTTTTGCAGCTACTGGAACACTCCTAGGGGCAACACAACCACTTAAGTGATGCTGAAGTGGTTCAATTCTCAGGCTGTAAATCTCAAAATGGTTCTCCAAAGAACAAATGCACAAAAACACACACAATTACAACCAAGGTCTCTGTGTCCAGTGTATTTAGAGTTAAGTGAAATGGCTGTTAAGTTGTCCAGAGGCGGCCAGGGGACGTGTACAGTTAATTGAATTGTTGAGGAGATATTTAGCGCACATATACATGTTGGCTCAATTGGCGCAGCTGTAGGTGGAGGCAGCCCACGGCTGTACATCCCTGCAGATTAGATTTTTCTTAGTCTACACTTCAGGTTAAATGAAGACATGTACACACTCAGTTTGCAGTTCTGGCAGGCACCTGAGCTGTTGTTTTCTTGACTTTTAGACACTAACTCCATTTCAAAACTGCAAGGGAACAGTAAATACTGCGTACATACAAGTATGTTTGTGTCACCTGTGGGTAGATATTTACATAAATATTTAGCACAGTGTTGCCATCTCACATAAATGAATTAAGAAAGTGTTGATCCATGGTCACGATGTACAGCGACATATTGTACATTGGATTGTACCACATTCACTTTCTCTTGTTTGTGTTGTTTATGAACTTTTCGCCCTTTATTATGGCTCAGACTGTAGTTAATGTCCTATGTTACCACTGTGTTAGTACGGGTGAGTGACAGGTACTTATTGACAGTATGTGAGTCCAGACTTCCTGTATACAAGTGTAGACGTGCTTGTTGAATTGGTCGTTTTTTGTTTTTTTTTTACTTCATCTTTTTGACATCTTTTCCGCACACAGCAGCTCAAACTGTGGCTGCTGTTGTTGTTGGCTCACTGACTAATCTTCATTATTGCTCATTATGGTTTTAACTGAGCATGTTTTACATTTGGGACCACGGCTAAACTATTTACATTCAACTATTTAACTGTGGCCTCAGATTAGAGCGGTTTAAGTGACTCTGTCTGTCAGTCAGGGAAATGAAAGCCGTTTTTGTGCCAAGAACAACAACACTGCTCTCTGATCCGTCTTTCCTTATCAGGGAGTTTTACAGTGATTACAATC